ACATTCATATATATATTTTTTTACATTTTCAGTAAAGTTTTATAATATTGTACTTTATGTATCTTTCATTAAATTGATTTCTAAGTATCCCATGTTTGTTATTGATATTGTAAATGGAAGCTTTTTTTTTTTAAGAAACGTATTTTCAGTTGTCTGCTGGTATTAAGAAACCAATTGATTTTTGTATATTGATCTTCCACCCAACAGAAGTTGCTCAATTCTCTTATTAATAACCTGTCTTCAGAGTCTCTTAAGATTTTGCATATGGATAATCAACTTAGAATAATTGATAACAACTTTGTTTCTTTCCTTCCAACATTATCCCTTATGTGGCTTATTTTTGTCTTACTTTGTTGGCCGGACCTCCAACACTTTGATGAGTAGAACCCATGTCCATGAGTATCCTTTTATTATTCTTATTCTTCTTCTTATTATTTTTAAGAGTATGTTTCTAAGGATTCACCATTATGTGTATATATATATATGTTTTTATAGATTTTTGGTATTTATGTTTTATCAGTTTACATTCCTGTTTCCTAGTTTGAACATGAATGACTACTGAATTTTATTAAATAACTTTTCTATATCTGTTAACATGATTATATGGTTTCTTCTTCAAATTGATAATGTAATAAATTAATAGATCTTCTAACATTTAATCAATCTTGAGGTCTTGGAATAAACTCAACTTGGTTATGATGTATTTTCATGCATATGATGCTGGGTTTGTTTTGCTAATATTTTATTTGGAGCTTTTGCATCTATGTTCTTAAAGGAGACTAGCATGCTATTTCTTTTTTGAACTGTCCTTGTCTCTTTTTGCTATACTTACTAGACATATAAAAAGAATTTAGCACATTCCTGCACACTCTACTTGCAGGAGCAGTTTGGATAAGATAGAAATTATGAGTTCTTTCAATGTTTGATTAAACTTGCTTGTAAAACCTGGGTGATGCTCTATATATTTCATTAAGTTGAACTTGAAATGACATAGTTTCTGTATCTTTGAGCAGTTTTTTTTTTTTACATTTGAATGCTTAGTGATGACAGAGTTGTACTTGGTTATGAGAGAGGTATGTTAAAATCTCCCTCTATAATTATGGATTTGTCAATTTCTCCTTATAATTCTGTCAATCTTGGGTATATATATATATATTTTTAAATTTAAATCTTTATTGTTCAGATTATTACATTTGTTCCTCTTTTTTCCCCCATAACTCCCCTCCTCCCAGTTCCCGCCCCACCCCCGCCCTCACTCCCTA